ATCCGTGGGTGGGTTCTAATTAAATCTAACATGGATACTGGCTATGATAAAGATATTGGTTATTGTGAGTTATGATTATTACTGTTCAATTAATTATTAAGCTCCAGACGTGCCTACCTGGAAGGAAAGCAAAAAGAAGTAGTTAGAATACTGGCCCAATACATTTTAAACTGACCTGATTACAATAGGTGATTCCAAACTGTTAGTAAAACTTTCGCAAGAAAATGTGGACATGAATGGGGAACTGAAATATTGAAGAAATATATGAATTTGTGGATAATATCCCTTTATAAAGGGCCAAGGGTATTAAACTTAGAAATGTGTATTTGTATAATTTTAAGAGCACATATTGTTATTTGGCATTAAGAAATTTATTAACTATGTGGCCCCAGGAGACTGTTGAATCTGGTGAAGGGAATCTAGAAAGAAAGAAAGATTTTTTTATTGAGTCTGTTTTCAATTGTATTAGTTATGTTGCTGGAAGGGCAATTTTTTTTATAATCTGGAATGTTAAATTAATTGTGTCTTCAGAGAAAAGAGAAAAAGGAATGAATCTGGCCGTTGGGGATTTAAGAAATCATAGAATTTCCAAATTTTTATTTAAAGGGAATTTTCAGTTAAAATTGTTTTGTTATCATTTATGAAATTTGTGAGATTTTTAACTAAGTTGTTTGGGATTACTGTTTTAATGCTAGAACCTAAAAGGGATAATTAATTACTGTATCTGTGTGGGCAAGGTCATTTGCCCTGAGAAAAGAACTTGTTAGGATTATGCAGTTCCTAGACAATGAACTTGACTTGCTGAGAAGTTGCAAGTTTATGTACAGTAGATGGAAATGATTTCTAATGACTGGCTTTCACACCAGAGCAAGTTTAAATTTGAGAAGGAAAGAAGTAAAGTGAGATCTCTTATGTATGAGTCCTGGTAAATCTATATTGCTTATTGCAACTCCACGAGAGCAAAATTAACTGCATCTGGCTTTAAGCTGTGATTAGTGAGACTTGCTGTTTGAGGTAAAAGGCTCTTGGGACTATAACTAATTTGTTTTGAGTTTAAATCTGGGTATAGTTGTCTGCATCAAATCAGTATCTGAGAGAAATGCCACAAGAACAGGTGGAGGTCTGCTTAGAGGAATGTGATTTATTTGGGAAAAAGGCCTATGGGACAATCTTGGCCTCAATCTAGGATGGCATCCTCTTGGCTCAGTTTCCCCATTGTGTTCCTTTGGAAAGGAATGTTTCCCACCTGACTATTTTCCTGAGTTTGGCTATGAGGAGAAACAGATACTGCATGATTAGAGAACTGCTACTCTATCTGAATTTAAACAAAGCTAAGGATGTTTTATCCTGTCATATTTAATATATCACCTGTCCCTGCTCTTTTTCCTTCTATAGTAAGTTTCTATGATCAGAGCAAGTAGTCAGCATGAGACGTAAGAAAAGGATTAGATTATAGTCATATCTTAAACTGATTGTTGGAACTTGCCGGGACTAATGACTGACTGTGTTTGAGTCTAACTCCAGGTGTCCTTCCTTAACCGAAACCTGGTGGACTTTAAGTCTGGCTCAGTGCAGTTTGACATAACACTCTGTCTGGAGTTGATAGGAAGTTGAGGGGAATATTGTTCCCTTATTCTAATCTCTTAGTGGCTAGTTTCTATAATCAGAAGGTTTTATAAGTATAGTAACAAATTTACTAAAATAACTGATTATGGAACATCTTAGGTTATTCTAGAACTGGGACTGTGTTCCGGTATGAGTTAGGGTCTTTTAATTCTTGGTAATGGTATGGAGATAATCAGGGGCTTGTGAGAATGGTATTTTAGTTATTTGGATAATATCATGCTCATCTAAAGTTTTGTTACCATTGATTAATAATGTCAAAAGAAGAATGGCTTGTGATTTGTAAATGCCATCAAAGAAACAAGGCATGACAAAAATTTTAAGAATTTATATGTACTGTGTTAAAAATTGATATGTATGTACTGGAGCCTGCGATTAATTCCATAGTGAAGTCTCATCCCCCTGGTGAAGAAATTAATAATGGATTAATGTAAAGTATAAGACACTGATGTGCATTTCTTGAACATGACAATTGGCCATGATTTTAATATTGAGTCTGTAAAAATGATCAGGGTTATAAGGACTAGAAATAGTGATTTAAAATTGTGCTAAGATCACTTCTGCAGGAGAATGGACAGAAAGCTGGTTCTACAAGAAGAAGAAGAAGAAGAGGAAGATGCTGGGATGCTGTGCTGGAGATGGCTGGAGCAAATACCATGGACAAGAGGACTTCATTGATGATGTTCTCTGCCAGACAGCTGAATAAGAAAATAATTTTTGAATCTTAAAGAGACAATTGCATTATTGTTTTCTTTTGGGTCTCTTTATCTGCACTTATGAAGAGGCTGCCCCTTTGATTTGTCAATGCTCAGATTAATCCTTCCCATATTTACTTAAAGGGGTGGTCCTGGTTTGGGGGAACTTGGTGGAAGCAGGTTTTATGGTTCTTATTGATAGCAGTGAGTGGAGTCATATTACTCCCAGTGTGTGTCCCTTGCATGATGCAGTTAATTACCACCACTGTACAGAGGACACTTTCTAGAATGATTACATTAAAAGAGCCTGCTAGTGAGTCCACAAGACTAATGATATTGGGGAATCAAGAATGGATGACAGTCAGTCAGGAAGAAGAGGAAAGGTCAAACCCTGATGAAATAGCAAACAGGGAGGCTGCAGAAACTTACCAGTTTTGTCGTGACAAACTTTCAACTATGAAATGGAGGGGGGACCATGTGGGACAAGTGAAAGTTTCTCATGTGAAATGGAAGCTATGCCCCCAAAATTTAGTTAAAGCTTTAACATTAGCTGGGCCTAAGTTAAGTTTTCCTATAAATCATGTGATCGGGTCATACACCTGTTACCCACCCCCTCCCTTGTTTTGTAACCACCACCCCAGCCTTATCTTTACCAAATAAGGCAATCTTCTAGGTCCCAAGCTTGTTTTGGGTAAAATGTATTTCTTAGTTTCTGGGTAGAATGTAAGGTCTCTCACCTCAACCAATGGGGATAAAGAGATTGAGGTAAACAGGTGGGGGGAGGGTGTTTCTTAGAGTTGTTTGTCTAAGGGGATATAACTGCTTGCTTACTGCTTGTATCCTGCCTCCCTACTCCAGTCCGCCCTGGGTAGGTGATGCCCAATTCTCACGCAAGACTTGCTAGAATAAAACTTCTGTTTCTACTAAGAGAAACCTCTGAATTTTTATTTGGGTAGGTGGTGTCTATCCCACTCACTTGTATGTGAATTCAAAAGTAGGCATGAGGTGATATACAATGCTATTGGCTGTCAAAAATACACACACACACACACACACACACACACATATATATATATACACACACACACATATTTTTTTTTTTGGCTAGGCAATGGGGTTAAGTGACTTGCCCAGGGTCACATAGTTATTAAACAAATTGATATTTCTAAAACATAGATATGATCTTGTCACACAAATCAAAAATCTTTAACAGCTCCTTATCACCCCCTGGATTATATACAAAATCTTCTGTGTGACATTTAATCCCTTCCATAATCAGCCTCCCATCTATCTTTCTTGTCTTAGGACCATCTTCAGTCATCCTGATCTATATCTGGCCACTGGACCCAGAGGGCTCTGGAGGAGATAGTGAGGCTGGTGACTTTGCACAGCCCTGCCTCACTTAAATCCAATCCACTTGAAAGTCTTGGCATCGTCTTCCTGATGTCATGGTCCTCTTGGAGAACAAAGGACACACACAACAACCTTTCTTGTCTTATTTCATGTTAGTCATCCTCACACCCTGTCCATTCCAGTCAAGCTTGTCTGCTCACCATTCTTCGTATGTGACATTCCATCTCCTCCCTCTCCATCTTTGCTCAAATAATCCCCCATGTTTGAGATGCCCTCCATTCTCACCTCTATCTCATAGAGTTATATGTTATTGTTTGGTCTTTTTTCAGTCACATTTGACTCTTTGTGGCTCTATTTGGGGTCTTCTTGGCAAAGATACTGGAGTAGTTTGCCATTTCCTTCTCCAGCTCATTTTACAGATGAGGAAACTGAGGCAGGTAGGGTTAAGTGATTTGCCCAGGGTCTCATAGCCAGTAAATGTGGGAGGCCAGATCCGAGCTCATGAAGATGAGTCTTCCTGACTCCAGGCCTGGCACTCTATCCACTGTGCCACCTAGGCGTCCCCATACAACTTTGATGCACTTCCCAGAAAAGTAAGGCATTTTCTGTCCCTTCGGTTATGAGCACTCTTCCTGTCTCAAAAATCTTTTGTAATTTTCGACTTATGCCCAGGTTGGAGTCCTAGTCCCCCAATAGAATGTAAGCTCCCGGAGGGCAGGAGCTGTTACAGTTTCTGTATCCCTTGCTCTCGGCACTGCACCTAGTACATGGTTGCTGTTTTAAAAATGCCTGTCGAATTGAACTGAATCAAAATTTAAAAAATTGTCATTGAGCCCCAAGGATGGGTCTGGCTGTCAGGGCCAGCTGAGGCTCCTTGACTATGTACGGCTGAGATGGACTTGAAAACAATATGGCTCTCAGTATTTCCTAAACTTGCGGCCTCGAGGCCACGTGGGGCCCTCTAGGTCCTCAAGTGCCACCCTTTGACTGAATCCAAACTTCACAGAACAAATCTCCTTAACAAAAGGATTTGTTCTGTAAAACTTGGACTCAGTCAAAAGGTGGCACCCAAGGACCTAGAAGGCCACATGTGGCCTCAAGGCCGCGAGTTCCCCAACTCTGCCCTTAAGCAAACCTTGTTGCTTGCATCCTTAGAACCCAACCTGGCCCCACTTAATTTTCTGGGTTTCCTGAACACACTCACTTGGTTAACTAGTTGAATGACTCCTGGTGTGATCCATCTTAGCCATGAGCCCTGAGTTCTTCCCTCCCCTGCATGTGAGCTGATGCCCAGAGGAAGATGACAGCTCAGATCCGGGTCCTGCTCACCTGTGTCCACTGTTTTGGACAGATAGCCTCACTGGGCTGTGACTTGCATTCTCAGCCTTCCACTCTTCTTTGGACACAGTCTTGTACATAACCCTTGGCTGTCACACTGGGTAGAAACAGAAATATTTGCAATTAACTCTTATCAGTATATATGTGTAATATTATAAAAGTGAGGAAGATAAGAAAGCTTTTCTTATTCTTTGCTTCCCCCCCAAAAAAAAATAGAAATTGTGTTATCTAGGCAGCTAGACGCTGCAATAGCTATAGCACTAGGCTTGGAGTCAGGAAGCCTTGACATCATCCAGCCTCAGATGCGGACTATTTGTGTGACCCTGGGCAAGTCATTTAACCTGTTTGCCTCAGTTTCCTGAACTGTAAAATGGGGATACTAAAAGCACCTACCTCTTAGGGTTGTTGTGAGGATCAAATGCCACACTGTCCATGGAGTTTTCTTGGCAAGGATACTGGAGTGATTCGCCATTTCCTTCTCTAGTGGATCAAAGTAAACAGAGGTTAAGTGACTTGCCCAGGGTCAGACAGCGAGGAAGTATCTGAGGCCAGATTTGAGCTCATGAAGATGAGTCTTCCTGACTCCAGACCACCTCGCTGCCTACAATCTGTGTACATATTGTTTTCATTTAGAACAACATTCCATTCTTCTGATGCTGAGTGAAGTGAGCAGAACCAGGAGAACACTGCATACAGTAATAGCCACATTGTGTGATGACTAATGTTGATAGACCTAGCCCTTCTCAGCAATGCGAGGATCTAAGACATCTCCAAAGCCCTCATGATGGAAAATGCCATCCACACCCAGAGAAAGAACTGTGGAGTTTGAGTGCAGATCGGAGCCTACTATTTGCTATTTTTCTTCTTCTGTGTTGTGTTTCCTCTTTCCGGTGGTTCCTCCTATTGATTCTAATTCTTCCTTACCACATCACTAATGTGAAAATATGTTTAATAGGAATGTACATGTACAGCCTATATCAGATTGCGGGCTGTCTTGGGGAGGGTGGTGGGGAGGAAGGGAAAAAATTTAAAACTCAAAAACTTATGGAAGTGAATGTTGAAAACTAAAAATTAATTAAAAAAAAAAAAGAAAAACATTCCATTCTTTAGAATAATAAGCCTATCAAATAATACATGCCAAAGTGAGTATGATGCATTTATAAGGGGAAAAACAGGGAACTAGCTTAGCAGTCTGGACAGTTGGGTTCGAATCTTGCTTCTGACACTAACTGTAAAATCTTGGGCAAATCATTTAGTCTCCTATTCTTCAGTTTTCTCATTGGTAAGGACTCAATTTCTAAGTTCTTATAGGTTAAAATGTCTGTGATACAAGTGCTGGAGGAGTTCAGTCATATCTGTCTTCCGTGGTATTCCTCCCACCCCATATTTTTTTTCCTCCAAACTTCTCAGTGATTGTTGCAAGCTGGGACAGAACACATTTTCACAGAACTTTGGAAGTTGAAACAGACCCCAGGGATCATCTGTTTCAAGGATTCTTAAGCTGGAGTCCATAAATTTTTTAATTAAATTAACTTAATTAAATTTTAAATTTTAAAACAAAATGTTTTATAACTGTGTACAAATATAGTTGATTTCTTCTGTAATCCTGTACGTTTTATATTATGCATTTAAAAACATTATCTGAGAAGGGGCCTATAGGCTTCACCAGAGTAACAAAGGGGCACAAGAAAGGCTGAGCTGTTCCAACCTTTCCATTTTACAGATGGTAAAACTGAGTGCCTGCCCTGGATCACTTGTCCTTTCTATTCAGCGGGATTGCTGAGTTCAAATCCCTCCTCAAGCTGTGTAATCCTGAGCAAGTCACTTGTTTGCCTCAGTTCCCTCATCTGTAAAATAGGGATAATAAGGCACCTACCTCCCAGGGATATTGTAAATATAAAATGAGGTATTTTTAAGGCATTTTATACATGCTTATCAACACCATCATAATCTAGAGATGGAAGGTATCTCAGAAGTCAACTAGTCCAATCCCAATTCCCTATTTTACAGACGAGGAAACTGAAGCCCAGAGAGGTTAAGAAACTTCCAATGTCACAGACGCAAAATTTGAACTCAGGTTCATAACACACACTTCATGGTTATGGTTAGCAGACGGCTAGCTGAGCTCTTAGGGATTGCTTTCAATACTATAAGGATCTGAGAAGAACCCTGGCTCGGTTTCTCTAAATTTCAAATTTACGTACTTCTCTGGAATACCTTCAGTTCATCAGTAGCAGTAGGGCAGTCGTCAGAGGCCGTACAACATGGCTGCTCCCATACTAGCCCCTCCCCCTTCTTACGAAACTTCCGTTCTCGGGACGCACAAGGAAGATCCTGTGAAGTCACTATTTGAACTCTGAACTCGGACGCACTTTCTCTTCCCTCTTCCGGTGGTGGACCTGACAGGTATGGTGGTTTCTCTGCTCTCTGCCTTTGGCCCCTCTTCTCAATCCGCCGCCATCGGGCAGGCGGCAGGAGCCGGAGTCGCTTGGGATGGGTCCCTCTCGGGGGTCGAGACGCCGACGAGCGCGGACGGCGGCTCGGAGCGCGTGTGGCTTTCTCCCGGCGGCTCCGGCGGCACCCCACGAGAGGGTGACGCCTGGGACCCCGCTCTCCGGGGCCGGAGTCCTTGGGATCCTCCGGGACCTGGGGCTCGCGGGGACGTGGTGGGGGAGGAGATCATTACGGAGAACTCGCCCTTGGGGCCCCGCCCGTGGCTCAGTTTTTACGGGGGGGGAGGGGAGGAGGCCGGCGGCATCAGTGCCCGAAACTTGCCCTTTTTTTCGCTGCTTAGGTTGAATTGGAAAACTCATTGTTGATACCGAAAAGCTAAGTCACTAGTTTGAGTTAACGCACATTAAAAAAGAAAAACAAAACTTATCTTTTTACCTTTGCCCTTTTGCAATTTCTGAGTCATTTTGTGCAAAAGCACATTTAGCATCTAGCAACCCCTCTGTAGCATCCTAGATAGAGCGTGAAAGGGGAGGTCGTGGAGTCCCATTCCTCTGGTTTAATAAATGGAGTTAAGGCATGTTCCTGAAGTCCCACAGGCGGACCCCCAAGGCTGTGGCCGTTTTCACCGGGCCTGGCAGGTTTGCATTTGGAAATTGAGGAGAAGGAAGGAGCCAGAGTGGCTCGGAAGCTCACCAGGAGCCAGAGCTATTAGAACCCACGTTTCCTGAATCCTAGTCACAGTCACGATTTGGATTCCAGTAAGCTTATTCAAGTTATAGATTTTAAACTTTAAATTATCCGTTTAAGTCTGGGAAGGGATGTTAGCTTTTCTAGGCTCCTCTCCCTCCTTTTCTGTTGGAGGTCCCTGTGTAGTGCCAGGGGAGTAAATATCAGCTCCTGTTCTGTGAAAGGGGTGTGCTTTTTCCTTCCTCAAATAGAGAGGAGAAATTTAAACTGTCAAAAACATGTTATGTTTTATCTTTGGTTTATCCAATAGAATAGTGCTGGATTTAGATTTTAGGGCTTGAGTTCAGCTCTGCCACTTTGTGTGTGTGGCCTTAGGTAGATGGCTTTAATCCTGCAGTTTCTGATCTGCCAAATGATGGATCTTCTAGGTCTATTCCAACCCTGAGTCCATCCTGGGAGGCCTAATACAGTTCCTTAATATAATAAACAGCTTCAGTGCGGTTATCAGTTATAAAATTGATATTTTGTTGGATGTGATGTAGTGATAACGTTCAAAAGTTTTAAAAAATGAAATGTTGAAAATAAATAGAAAATGGAAGTATGTTTTGCATGATTTCATATGATAAAGCCAAAGGGCATATATATTGCTTGCCTTCTCAATGGGTAGGAAGGGAGGGAGACAATTTGGAACTCAAAATTTTTTTTAAACAAGAAAAGTAATTGATGTCACAATCTAAGAATTTGACTAATACTGCTACTTTTTGTTTAGAAATTAAAAATGGTTCAGCGTCTGACATATCGCCGTAGGCTGTCCTACAATACAGCTTCCAACAAAACTAGGCTGTAAGTATTTGTTTCTATGTTTATTATAAATATTACAAGTTCTTGAAATTTCTTTACTAATTCTTTCCTCTTTTTGACACAGGTCACGAACCCCAGGTAACAGAATTGTTTACCTTTATACCAAGAAAGTTGGAAAAGCACCAAAATCAGCCTGTGGTGTGTGCCCAGGAAGACTTCGAGGTGTAAGTTCTATATTTATTTTTTTTTCTTTAATCAGCTTGTCACATTGCTGTTTGTAATTTTGGGGACTCCTAATTAATCAGGGTCTGCATCACGAATAGAATGTGTGCTCCTTGAGGGTAGAGACTTTTGTTTTCTGCCTTGCCATCCCCAACCTTTTAGAGCATTACCTGCTATGTAATAGGTGTTGGGGGGGTGGAGGATTAATGGGTACTTTCTTATTTGAAAGTGAATTTCTTCAGTGGCTTCTGGCTTCCAAGGGTTGTAAAACAATGGAAAGGAAATTCTATTAAGAAGGGAGCTATATGAAGCCAGCGCTTATTCACCTAGTGGCATAATCGTAAAGATGCTAACACTACCAGGTAACATTCTTAAAGGCATATTTTAATATACAGTTGGTGCTGTTTCTTATGCAGGTTCGTGCAGTGAGACCTAAAGTTCTCATGAGGCTGTCAAAGACAAAAAAGCATGTTAGCAGGGCTTATGGTGGCTCCATGTGTGCAAAATGTGTGCGTGACAGGTAAAAGCCGTCTTGTTAAAAATTCGGGTAGGGCAGAGAAGGGGTTGTATTCAAGATTAATAGTACTCAAAATTGATATGAAATGGGGGATACATGTTTATTTGCATTTTTACTGGATTTTAGGGTAAGCAGGCCAACCTTTATAATAAGCTTTGGGGGAGGGGGTAAACAAGAAGTCCTGTCATTTATTTCAGTGTTACCCATTAGTAGCTAGGTTGATTAAAATTGGACTAAATTTGAAGTTGTGTGTCTTGTAGAAAGTATCTTATTTAACTCTTTGGTTTTATGGATGTGAGCACTGATGTACAAACAGCTAAATGCTCGGGAAAGCCTTTTTTGAAAAGCCTTATTTTTCTTGAAAGCCTCATCTTTCTTGATCTCTCCAACTTTTGACACTGTTAACTGCCCTTAAGTTCACGTCCCTGACGGTGTTCTCTTGCCAGTATCTGTGCCCTGCCCCAGATTGTGGGCATTTCTCCCAGGGCTCTCTCCTGGGCCTTCTTCCTTTTCTATCCCCTTTTTTTACCTTATCAGCTCTTTATGCAGGTGACTGCCAGAATTGGTTTTTCCATCCCTAAACTCTGGCCCTTCATCACCAGCTGCTTTAAAGTGTGTGGGGAGGGATGGGGACCAACCTCTATAGAGGAAAGCCTCTTAATTTGAGTTTTTCTGACTCCGGGTTATCACACAACTACACAAATCTTCCTGAAGCGCAGGACTGATCCTGTTATTCTCCTGCTCTAGAATCTT